TATTTGAATTATCTTGAGATTATTCAAAATTGAAAATGAAAATTTTTATAAATAACTCATATCATTCAGTTATACACTACATGATAATTTATTTTAATTTAGACAAATAAATAAATATATTTATGTATATCATATATATATAGTTTATATAAATAAAAAGAAGAAATATCATAACATAAACATTGATATAAAAATTTATAATATATATATAATATACTAATATAATTTAANTAATATTATTAAAAATTTATTTCTGTAATTGGTTATTTTTAAATTATACATATTATTAAATAAAGTACTCACCATTAATTTTATACTATTGAACACGTTTTTGATAAAATCACATTTCAAATTATCACTCTATATATAGCTTCTGTAAAAACATATGAAAAAATCACAACAAAAATATGTTATTTCACCAAATAATTTAAAAGTAATTACTTCAACATTTCATAAAATATTATTATATTTATTTGTAAAATACAAACTGAATTTTCTCTTTGATATTTATATTTTATTCTCAGATAAACATAAACTTAATCTCAAATATTCAGCGTTTAATATCACACTACATTTAGAAGTAGTATAAGAAAAAAAGAGTAACTAAAGAAAAAGCGATTGCTGCACCATCTACTAGATCATTTATATTACGATACGTTTTCACACAACTTTAAATTGACTTCTATAGTTAAATATCATAATTTTTATCGTCGTTTCATTATCATAATATTGAATTTGAATATTGAATAAAAAAATACGATCTATATTGTTACACTATCATTATTATAATATCATTATATAATATATTATATTTTTATAAATCATGATAATTAAATATATGAAAATGTATTTTACATATATTCCGGTAGATGACATAGCAATCGCGTCATATTATTTTCTCTTTAATTAAATTTTCTTTTCTCTTCTTTTAATTACTTCCAAATAAAATTGATATAAGCATTTAAAAATCTAATCTAAAGTTCGAAAGGAAAAAAAAATTATTTGTTAGCGTTTTTTCAATTCAATTAATTTTGAATTGGAGTATTGTTATTGTAATATTATTCTATATACTTAAATACGTGTAAAAAATACACATAATTATCAGTATAAAGACATCCTATAATAAGCCTATCTAAAGAGGATATAAATAAATAATGGACTAAAAAAATACATCTTGGTAAATATTTTTGCAAAAAATTCTCAAGAACATTTTAATTCTTTCGCTACAATTTTTTTTTTTTGGTTTTTATATTATATGTTGCAGTAAAAATATAATAAATGATTATTATAATTCAAAATGACGAAAAGCATGATTTCATTTCATTTCTGAGTCTGATACATAATTAAATTGCTTATAATTTATAAATAAGCCACAAGTTTCATTTTTTTTATTTATATATTTATTTGTATTTATATATTTGTTTTGCTTTTAGAATCGATCTCCAAAAATATCCTACGAATATATTAACATTTTATATTAAAAAAAAAATAGAATTTGTTATTCTTCATAAATATTATAAAAAATATAATTCGTTATTATAAAATAATATATATTATAAAATAACTAATTCGATAATTTAAATATTTTGATTTTTTGATTTTAATATATTAAATATAATCATGATACTTCATTTATAATGAAGAACTAGAAATTATTTTTTATTTGTTTCAAGAAGAATTTCATACTCTGTCAAAAGTCTTATAAGAATATAATTTTTATCATAAAATAACAAAAAGAAATCATATTAACAAGATATATTAATAAGATAAATCAGAAAAACAAAAAAAATTAAAAAATATATATTAATAAAAATAATATTTTTTGAAATATTGTTATATTTTCTGATAAAAATAAATTTAATATAATAAACATTTTTCATTTTAACGAACGTAATTATGTTTGGAGAAAATCGAATATAAAATGAAAATTGGAAATTTATGTTTAATCGTAAACAATAATGATTCTATCAATATGGGATTATATAACAATCTAATTTATATAGATGAAATTTTAGATAAATATTTCTATATATATTATATATATATTATATATATATATATATTATATGAATATTTATATATTATATATATATTATATGAAAAATTTTAAGCAAAATACTGAAACAAATACTAATGCAGAGACAAACAGCAGCATACAAAAATATAATCTATAGATTTTAAAAATTGATCGAATATTTTCTGTCAATATCTCTGAATATAGATATAACAAATAGATTACAAAAATAGATTATATTGCAGATTCTTTATAACTATGCGTTGCTAATAAATTGATAATCGGTAAATTCATCGCTACTCCTATTTTTAAATGCTCCTGAAATTTAAAATATAACACGTTGATATAGTAAAATATTTGCAGAATATATAGAAATATTTATTTTTTTAAATATAATATTTACTTTTATACTTATTAAAATCTGATTATATGTTTCCATCTATATCTTTTGAATTGGTATATTTACATTTTTTATTCTGCCATATGAATTAAAAATAAAAAGATTGAAATAAAATTTTAATAAATTTTGGTTTTTAAATAAAGTTTTTACTTTCATATTTATTTATTATTAACTACTGCTCATATTTATTTACTATTCATATTTACATAATAATGTCTTTTATAGCTAGAGAATCATAAAAAAAGTGATGAAGAGGTTTAAAACGAATCTTTTATAATAAACCATTATATTATAAACTTGTGATTATATAGTGATCAGAAAGAATAATAAAAAAAAAAGGATTCAAATTTTTAAAAGATTTTTCTTTTACAAATTTCGATGAAAAAATATCAAATATCAATATAATTGATGAGATTTAAACATCTGATGAGTAACAATTCAAACTTGAATCATTATTGAAAAAAATAAATATTTTCAGATATAAAATATTCGATTATTTTAAATCCTTAATTAGCCTCTAGCGACCAAAAAATAAACGATTTTTATCTAATTTCTGAATTATTGAAAATAATTATTTTCTCAAGTATAACATCAAATGATTTTTTAAAATATTATTTTTATTAATATAATATAACATTAATTTGTAGTAGTTAGTTTTTATCTAAGTTTTATCTATGTATGTTAGTAATATCTGTAAAATTTTCAGTCTTTTATGAATTTATTTTTACTTTATTATTCATAGTGTTTTTGTTTTATTTTGAATAATTTATTATTTGGTAATAGTTTAATAATTGATTTTAATATAGTTTAATAATTAATAATTTAATAATTTTTAAATAATAAATTAAAAAATATTCTGGAATCTTACAGAAAAAAAAAGTAATAAGGAGACTCGAAAATAGCTAGAGAATCATAAGAAAAGTAATGAAGAGACTCAAAACAAATCTTTTATAATAAACCATTATATTATAAACTTGCGATTATATACTAATCAGAAAGAATAATAAAAAAAGAGAATTCAGAATCTGAAGAAACCCTATCATTATTGTCTCCAAGCGAAACGCGATAAGAATGACAAAAAATTTTATAAGTTAAAGCATTATAAAAATACTATTTATGAATTTTATATTGAAAAGAAGATCATTATTAACACTAGTCCAAAATTATTAACACCAGAAAAAACAGATTTTGGAAAATAGAAAATTCATATATAATTTATATATATTATTGAAAAGTATAGATTTTAAGTGGAAAAAGTACAGCACTAATATAGAAAAATATTAATTGAAAGATTAAATATCTAAAAAAATATATAATATTGTATCCAATTTTATAAAAAAAAATAGAAAACAAAATAGAAATATTCCATTGATGAAACATGAGTAGATAATAAAATGATTGTTAATAAATATTGACAAAATAAGGAAATAATTGATGTTTTATAAAAAATAGAAATTATTTTTATAAATTTATAGTGCTTATTAGTAGAAAAAGTAGATTTATTAAAAAAGCTCAATTAACATGCATATTACAGAAGATTACTATGGATAAATAAACTCTTCAAATTTTGAAAAATAGATCAGAGAAAAATTAAATTATATTAATAAATAAATAAATTTCAGTAATGGATTCATTATGGATAATATTTTATATTACACAGTATAAAAAATTTCTTCTAAATATCTTCTAAATTAAGAAGAAAGATATAATTATAATATATAATATATAATTGAAAACAAAATTCCATTAAATACAAATTATGGAAAATTATAAAATTTACAGAAAAATATAAAAAATAAAAAAAGTAAATGAATGTATTAAACTATAAGATCATAATATATTGAAATTACCTATATATAATTTTAATCCAATTGAATTAGTTTGAACTAATTAAATAATTAATGAAATAAAATGAAACAATTTTCAAAAAAATAATTCAGCAACGTCATCATGTAATGAATTAGAAAATTTAACATAGAGCAGTTAAAGGTATGTACATTGGTGACTGGAAAAAATTTTAGCATCATGTGAAGAAAATTGAAAATCAATGAAAAATCAATAAAATATCTTAAAATATCTTAAAAGAACAATAGAATAAATTGTAATAAATTTATCAGCTTGTATATACTTTTGAGTGGTTTAACTCTAATAATTCTTTGTCTAATATTTTTTTGAAATAATAGGCTTGCATGTATTTAACATATAACACTTGAAAAACTTTTATTCCATTATTTATTCCATTATTGCCAAGTCATATATTAAGGAACTTTTAAGTTAGATCTTTAATAATAACAATAAATTTTGGCTTTGATTTAGAAAATTTAGTTATTTTGATATCATATTCTGACATTATATTCAAGTCATACGTACTTGACTGATTCCTCATTATTCCATTTCAAAATTATCATGACTTAGATATGACTTATATATTAGAAGACTGATAAAAGTTGTCACTTTTTAAAAACAAATTTAAAAGGAAGAAAAGCTGAGAAAAACCTTCCTCTCAAGAATGCAAAAAAAATAAAATAATGAACAAGTGGATAAAAACTTTAGGACAGAATCAATCTAATTCTGCTTGGAATTAAAAATTACTTCTATAGATTAATTCTTATAATTAGTATAAGTTCAGAAAAGAGTAAATTTGTATCTTAATTTTTTCAATTGTATTAAGCAAATAATGAAAAAATACTATTAATACTATTCAATCAATACTATTTTAAGCATGTACCAATCATAGAAGTCAAAGAATTACAGTAGTAGATTCTCTCACTCAATGAATCAAAATTCAAGAGGTACTTACATCAACAGTCCATCAAAATGATTGCTTTTAGAACCAATGATTTTTCACTTTATAGAATGAAGACAATAAATCTAAAATATAAATTCAATAATATCTTTAGAATATTATATTTAATTTATTCCACATATTTTTGCTTGTGGAATATCCAATTATATGCATTAGTAATTAATCTATAATCGATCTACAGCCAATTTTATATTTTTGCATTTATTTTCTAATGTAGTTTACTCTTTTAATAGTTTATAATTAAATACTGATACAGACCTTTTAATTTCAATACGAAATTAAATCGAAATTTCCAGATTTAGAATTCATCGCAACTAATTTTCTAATATTTCCAAAATTTTCCATGGTACTTGTATATTTCCATTATTCATAAATATTTTTTATTGTTAATGAAACTTTATCTTATATTATTTTTTCAGAAGATTCTTTTTTACTACATGCTAACCAATATGTTTTGGATGCATAATATGTTACAATTTTTACTAGAAAAAAAGAAAAAACTATTTCTATTATTTTTATAATGAATATGTATTTAAATATAAACTCTATACT